TGCTGTCAAATTAATTTGATATATGTTATGTTGTCGTAGCTATTTTATGCTACACAAAAGATTTAGTAACTTGCTAGTACGTTTAAATAACTTTTGTAAATATTCACTTCATATTCTTAATGGTTCAGCAATATACGGTTGTAAAAATGTAACATATCGGACAACAAAGGTTTTCATTTGAGTTTAGAATGTTCTTATAATATTTCTAATATAAGTTATGCTAAGCTATTAACTCATTTATAACTTGATTACTGAGTATGATATGATTTGTAAGGCATCGGCATTCGCGAATACAGAATATGACAATATCTTGTAGTAAGTTCTTGTATGGAAACTTTTTTATTTCACAAAATATCATCACGAAAATTTACGTAGAATTATGCTCCAAGTCATTACTATATTCTTTACAGAATTTTTTTTAGATCCGAGAACTATAGCACATGGCTGTCATACAAACTGATCGATCAAACTTAAGTCTTTGTATGGAAAACTTTTTTATTTAAAAAGATATGTTTATGAGAGTTCGTATGGATTATTATTTAAAACATTGCTAAAATATCTGAAGAAATTTTCCAGATCGGACTACTACAACATATAGCTGCCAAACAAATTAAACGAACAATATGATATTCTTGTATGGAAAACTTTTTTATCTGAGATAATATCTTTAAAAAATTTAGCACGGGTTATTGCCCAAAGCAACGCTAAAATATTTCAAGAAACTGTTCAGATCGGACAAGTATAGCACATAGCTGTCATATAAATTGAACGATGAAAACCAACAAAAATATTTTATAACGTTTAAAGTTAAGAAAAATGCACCTGTAAAGTGTACTTATATTACATAATTTCGGTCTAATCGAAGTTAATGTTTTCTTTTGCATGTTCTATTTTCAATTTCACATTGTTTTCTTTACGCTGCATACATATATATTATATATGCACATACTTATGTATATCCAAGGCATAGCTGAATAATCCAATTTACACGACTGAATGGCAGCACATTAATCGCCCACAGCTACACTCATTTAACTACACGGCCTTACATATAGTACATACCGTTGTTGGGTTGAATTGTAGGGCAAAATTGTGCTTAAGCCCATATATAGAAGCATAACAGCAGGCGCAACAGCTCCTAAGGCGCCTAACATGTTGAACCTTTTTTGCATAGTTACTACATAGCATGTTCACCAATGTTGTTACTAACCTACAGCATCGTTTGCATATAAAACACACGCATACTTACACATACCGAAAACGCTACAACGTATATACTAACACACATACATAAATACGTAGCCATACCCGCACACACATATATGGGAACATGCATTTGCGTTGACGGCCACCAAAAGTTTTCCAATAAAATCTTCAATGTTAGCACGCATTGCATTTTGGAATAACGCTACTGCGGCGGGGGAAAGATGACGGCCAAATGCTCAAATAGGCAACACTGTTAGCATAATGCGTACCAAATGCGCGCGTTTAAACAACGAAAGCACGGAGCACGTTTAGTTCGCGGCGAAAAGCCATTCAACGCAGCTATGACAAGTGTCAAATACCCGCGCAGTAATTAAACCACGTATGTATGTAGTTGAATGAGCCTAGACTGGCGTAGTAACCGAATAGAGAAAAGCATATACACTGCAGATTTATTTGCATAGAAAAGCGAGTAAATAGTGTACGCAAATTATGACATCAATGAAAGTGTCGAAAAAAGAGCAGTAACTACTATTTTTATTTCTTACACACACTATTGTAAAAGCTATTTAAAATGTTATCATTTATGAATTTTATAAACCGTTTGAGAATTACATTGTTAAGGGAAGGAAAAATTCAAAACCAAATGGTGCGCTAAAGAAAAACGAACATTTTTGAAAGAATTACAGCATTTCACTGCTTTGTTGAGCTTTTCGGAGCGACCAGTATGCTCTACATGTGCGAAATGGTCTACAGATATGTGTATTTAGTTTAGTATGGCATACTAAAGCGTGCGTTTTGAATAAAATATGAGATTTGAAATGCATTCATGTCAGCGTAATACATTTTTACACTGCGTACAGTTACAATTGCATGCATGAATGGCTGCGTCTAACTTATTCACACTTACAGCAAAAAGTCAAGTAATATCTTAACGGAAATTGTACTACAAAATGGTTACGTACAGTGCGTATATAGAATGTGTGAAAAAATACTAAAACAAGTAATAAGAAGTTAAAGAATACTATACTTGCTCTTAAAAGTAATCTTCAAAGTCGTTTTAGGTAATGTAAATATTTCGGCCGCCTTGAAGCATACCCTTTATGGGGTTAACTGTGTCCGATATGTGGCTATTGAAATTAACTGAAAGAAGGTTTGAGATAATTTGAAGATACTCAGAACTTGATTGTTCGGAATATTATAGAACTTTAAATTTTTTGGGGAATGTATTTTAACATAGTCATTATCAGTTCGTACTTTTCTACATAAAGTAGTGATTAAAGTTTTGTAAAGGTAGGTTATTTTGAGTAGTAATCTTCTCAAAGGACTCACTGCTTCAAAAAAAAGCAACAACAATAAAATATTTAAAATAAATCATGAAAATATTTAGTTGTTAAACTTAATTACACCAAAGTAATAGCGTGCCGAGCAAAAAACTCCGACAGTTCAAATGAAAAGTATTAGTTACTCGTTAGATGGCGCTGAGATCAAAGTAGCTCTAAAATCTGAGTTGAAAGGTTTAATAATGTGTATTGTATTTATAACAGCTCAGATAATTTTTAAATAATGTTTAGTGACACTGTTGCTTGCAAACTGCCGTTATAAAAAAAATTAAATTTAAATATTTTTTTCCGCTTCTAAAATAAAACTAATATATAAAATAAAGTTAATGCATAAATGTGAAGCGCCTTAAAGTAGGTTTCAGCTTTTCGAGTGCTTTGTATGAAAACACACTTTATTATATAAATGTATAAATTTAAATTTTATATACAGTAGATATTTGCTATAACTGACATCACTTGAGAAAATTAAGAACTTCAAAGACTTATGAATTAAAAAAAAAAATTATAAAAAAATTATATTTTTTCAAACTTAATCAAATATTAAGAGTCTCCTAAAAGGCACGCTTTAATTAAGAGCACGCAAAGTTCATCGCATTTATTATGCGTGTGTTGGCTTCTGCATATATGTGCCCTTAGCTTCACACATGTGAGTAGCGGCTTTTCATGTAAGTCACGCTTGCGAAATTGTCACGTTTTAGTACTTACATTGAAATGGAAATTGTGTAAATCGCAACGACATTGCTATTGCCGATTGAAAAACCCGGCATCCTTTTACCTTCGCAACTTTCGTGCCTGCCAGCAACAAAAAGAGTAACTCAGTGATGAGTTTTTTCTATGGAAAGGTAGAGCGTAATGAGCAGTAAGTATAAAAGGGAAAGTTAGAAGCGAGTGGAGCTCATATGAATATCGATTGTTTTATGTATGGATATATGCTACAACGACACTACATACGGTGTACGAATGGAAATTATTGCCGTTCCTACTGACGGGAAGGAAGTTAACAGCTTGCCATAGCAACAGCGGATGCTTACATTTTGATAATAGTGTTGCTTTAAATTAGATGAGTTTTCCTTTTCCGTACGCAGATATGTACTCGTTTACATATTTCCATATTTAGGCAACTTTTTGAATTCGCTGTCTAAATTTTTAGCATGTTATTCGAACCTATATTACTGGCTTACGAGGAAGAGATAGAACAGTTTTAATGGATGATGCCTCACAAAAAAATTCTTTAAGCACAGCAAAATATGTAGGAACGTTAATCCATACATAGGTATATAATCGGAGTACCAGTGTTTACATTATAAAGGTAGATCACTATAATTTTATAATACGTAATTCCTGCTATGTAACTAATTCATCGGAAAAAATCCGATCTCGACTGCGAAAGTGCTTCTTGCTGAAATCGAACCATTATGGGAGCCGCCAAGCGTACTGATCACAGATAGCTCGTGCTTTGAGAACCTGAACAAGTTTTTACTTGCAAAACAAGACAAAACTGCAAATACGACTTCTTTTCTGTACTCATCAAAAAATCATCACAGAACGAAATTTGAAATTAAAAAGCGCTTAGCCTTGACTTCGGAACCAAGAAGACAGCGCATTTTGGTTTTAAAATAAACTTCCGTACAGGTCCTAGACTAGACTAGTCTTGAGTGGTACACATTTGTCGACCTAACCTAACATTTCGGAGTAAAGCATTATCACACACTATTTTGCGTAATTTTATACCCTGAACAGGATATATTAAGTTTGTCACGATGTTTGTAACACCCAAGTCTCTCAGTTTTTGAGATTTTGGTCTGAAATTTTGCACACGACCTATTCTCGCTAAGAAGCTGCTTATTTGTCAGAAACACTGATATCGTACAATTATTGCATGTAGCTGCCATAGAAACTGAACGATCGGAGTAAAGTGCTTGCATGGAAAATTTTTTTATTTGTCAAGTTATCTGCATCAAATTTGGCACAGATTGATCTTTTAAGCATAGCCGTAATCTCTGAAGATATTGTTCAGATCGGACATCTATTGGTTATAGCTGGCATCCAAGCTGAGCGATCGAAATCAGCATAAATATTTTTTCATATACTTTTATGCTATAAAACTGCACCTGTGAATGTTATTATAGTTTCGCTGTAGTTTAAGTTAACGTTTTTTCTTGTTTATTATAAATTTTTTTTCGTCTCATTTTATAGCTTCAGCGATCTTACACAACGAATAAATCAGACTCATATAATCATGTGTAAAATAGATAATAATAGCTTTAAAAATTGCTGGTTGCAAGCCATTAAATTCTTTCATGAATTTCAACACATTTTTTCGTTCCCCAGTTAGCAATTTTTAAATCATATTTCTTTCTTCGCCTGGCTTTTATACTTTGCTTCGCACGTTTATGTTTTTCTGTTTTGAAATTTCTATAACTGTATGTATCTGTATGTAATTTTTACACTCACCTTGTGTCGCTTACGTTCACGTTCTGGCACTGCATGCCAATTAAATTGTAAATTCCAATCAAAACCGCCCACATTTACGCCGCCCGAGTCACGGTAGTGAAATTCCAATGTTGTATCATCAATGACATCAATTACCGGACACACTACAGTGGTGCTGTTGCGAGCGATGCGATCGAGCAGTGGTTCAAGCCAGCCTGTAGGGGAAAAAAAAAGTTTTTTTTTTTTTTAAATAAAATTAATATATATACAAAGAAGAAATGGAAGCTATATACATAATTGTACTTAGTTATATGGTATATAATATAATAACATAAAAACAAATATATAAATATGTATGTATAATAAAAGATTATATTATACATCTGAAAAATATAGGTTATGTGTCTATGTGCGAGTTGCCAGCCTTAACCTTAATAAAAAGTAACGGTAGTTTATTGTTAAGGCAACTACGCTTCACTGATATTTTCTATTTGTTATTATACATACAAACAAATTGCTTTGGGTACTGTTTTTTCAACGTTTGCCATTTTTCTGCACTTTCTATTAAAGCTTTATGGACATAATCCGACTATTGAACCATACGCGTTGACCCAGCAAATGACCGCAAGCACAGTGCGGGAACATAAAAAATATATATAATAAATTCAGGAAAATTTAGCAACCGCATGGCGGAAGGAAGGAAGCGATTGTCAAACAAAAAAAAAAACACACACACAACTCACTTAGAAATAAAGTAAATAAGCATAAAATAGCAAATGCAATTACTCAACAGTGAGAAAGGTTGAAAAAATGTGTATGTATGTAACGTGTTTAACAGCAAAACATCAAAGCCATTGGCCAGCTCCACCAGCGCAACCGCAGTCCAACGGCAAGCAGTCAAGCAAGCAACGTATTCACCAAACCGTAATCATAATCGCCAAACCCAAGCAACCGCAAACTTAGTTGAGCAGCGAGGAAGCAGCAGCAAAAAAATCTCAACACTACACTCGCTCGCACCCGCGTAAACATGCTTCCTGGAAAGCTCAAACACACACATACATTTTTGCACTGCATAACACCAGCAATTGCGCAAGCATCCATATATATCTACCCTGTTACGTTCGCGCATATCCTGCAGCTTATCCCATTACGTAGTTTTGTTTGTGTTGCACACAGTCCCACACACACACATACACATATATATATACTATACTTGTATGTGTGCGATTGAGTTTGGTCAGTCATCAATCATTAAAAAGTAGAAATTGAATTTTAGCGCTACTTCTCTGCCCTACATGCTTCTAAATGAAAGTTTAAGTTTGTTATCTCAAGTTATGAGTGTTGTGTGCTTGTTCGCTCTCAAAGCGGAAGTTAAAAAATATCAAGAATTTATAAATTCTACTTTTTCAATATTTTCTGCATAAAGTTTTGTAATTTTTTTATAAATTTTTACAGCTTTCCATAGCATTATAAGTAGTTAGAAGTGAAGAAAAAATTAAGCAACAACTGAAAAATTAGCTTAGAGCAGGAAAAATGCAGAAACAAAAATTCAATTTCCGCATAAACACTAAAAAATTATTGATTTTATTGATTGTTTGCATTGTGTATTAAGTTGAGCACTTGAATATGGTCGCTTTCGATTTTACGCTACTTTGTTGTGTAAAAGTTGTAAAAGCTTTAAAGTTAACCTAGTGACTTAAATAGAGTGAAATAGGCCACATTAAAGTTGGTTACTCTACCTCTATTTGTTTAAAACAGTTGTTATTTCGATTCGACACTCTCTAATGTTCAACGATTCTAAGACACTTTATAGACATACGAGCTCCAAACGAGGAATACTAGTTCTCAACTAGAAAATGTTTTAAATTTCCGCTTAAGCACTAAAAAATGATTGTTGATTCTCACTTAAATTGAATACTTTATTATGGCCGCTTTCTATTCATCACTTTCTCTCGCTTCGTTGACGCACTGCTCTCTTGTCCATAAAATTGACATAAAAGCTTCAAACTTTATCCAGTAAATCAAATTGGTGGTAGTAGAGAAAATTAAAGTTCTATAAACATTTATTATCTATCCCTATTTGTTTATACTAGTTTATATAATTTCGACCAGTTATGTGTTCGATTCGCACTATCTAATGTTTAACAATTCTAAGACATTTACTATACAGACGATATTAAAACTAGTAATATCGGGTGTTTTTTTCGAGGTACAGAACTTTAAGTTGGCATAACTGTTCAAGATGGCGACTAATTTAACAGCTGTTAACTGATTTATTCTCAGTTTGGTTTGACAATTCATCATGAATATACTCACGCCTGAACAACGCTTGCAAATAGTGCTATTTTATTTAGAAAATAATGGTTCTGTGCGGTATACGTATCGCGCACTACGTTCATTTTATCGGATGATGCGATGAAGCGCACTTCTGGTTGAATGGCTACGTCAACAAACAAAACTGCCGCATTTGGAGTGAAGCAAATCCTCAAGTGATGGAGGAGGGTGAAGTGGAAACATCCCGGCACTTTCTCCTCCTTTGTCCGGCTTTTGCTAGGTTGAGATTGAAACATCTCGGTAATCACACTTTTGGTGGACCAGAAGATCTGGCCGAAACAGATAATGGCCGTCTCAACAAGTTTGTCATAGGCACAAAGCGCTTCGTCGACATGTAAGGGTCTATTGATCCGGCTCATAGGAGTTTTGGGTACCACAACGGACCGGCGTTTAAGCTGTCCAAGTGTGATCCTTCTTAGGATCGACCCTCTAACCTAACCTAATCCTCAAGTGTATGTCGAAATACCGTTACATCCAGAAAAACTGACTGTTTGGTGCGCTTTATGGGCTGGTGAAATCATTGGTCCGTACTTCTTCATAAACGATGATGGCCAGAACGTTATAGTCAATGGTAGTCGGTATAGAGCCATGATTACTAACTTTTTCATTCCCGAATTGAACAACATGATGTCCAAGAGCTGTGGTTTCGACAAGACGGCTCAACATGTCACACAGCTCGTGCCACAATCGATTTATTGAAAGACACGTTGTGTGACCGCCGAATTTTGGACACGTTTTGGAGCTGTAAATTGGCTTCCAAGATCTTGTGATTTAACACCGCTAGACTACTTTCTGTGGGGTTATGTAAAGTCATTGGTCTATACGCGTAAGCCACAAACGCTTAACCATTTGGAAGACAACATTCGCCGTATTGGAAAAAGTCATCAAAAATTGGACGTCCAGATTGGATGCCAGCCAGTCGTGGCGATCATATGCCAGAAATCATATTTAAAATGTAATGCCACAAGATTATCTTTCGGATAAATAAAACTCATGTCACTCGAATAATCCATCGTTGTTTTTTTACAATTTAAAGTAAAAATTTTCGAATTAAACATACTGATATAAAATATAATAAAGGACGTCAAATACAGCAAAAAATCAGTGAAAAATGAGCAGGCACAAACGGGTAGCACAAACCCACCAAAATCTAAACTTCTGTAATTACCGAAAATAAATCACAATCCTGCGGGTATTACTCCACATCGCGCCAATAAATATTAGCTATCTCTTAATTCGCAAAGCGCAAATTAGCAATCATGTGGTAAGATTTTCTGAATAGATAAATGGATTAATACGCAATTCACAGCAAATTCCAGTAGTGAACATTTTAATTTGTAGTTTTTATACCAACGTAGTTAACGGCAAAATAAATGGTCTAAAAGCATTATTGACAATATGGCAAACCATTTAGATTAGCGGGGAAATAGTACAAAAAAAAAATGAACAAAAAACATTTTGATATGGGTACAGTGGGACAAACTTGATTTTCAAAGTGCTAAAAAAATTTACTTTTTAATTTAAATTTTTTTAAAAGGAGAAACAGAAAACCAGAATCGGCAAGGATCAAAAAGAAGAAACAGGTGATATAATTTATTTTTCCAAAAAAAAAACAACACACTAACTGTTAAGGAAATTAAAATGGTTTTTATTTTATGTGAAGTACAATCGATGCAATTAAGCTCTGAATATAAAATCATTCAAATGGGCTCAACGACTTTTTTGCGAACGAATTCGATGAACCCAATTTTCGTGTACTTTTTCCATTAAATCAAGTCGTATGGTTTCTTGCTAAAGACCAATGGCTGCAAATAACCCCAGAAGATGTAGTATAATGGTGTTAAATCACAGCTTCTTGGAGGTCTTTCAATGACCCAATTTATTGAAATTATCAAATCTGCAAACTTTTCTCGCAATAATTTGGTTGTTGCACGTGCTGTGTGGCACGTAGCAACGTCTGGTTGAAACCAGATGTGGTCAAGATGAACTTTTTCCAATTGCGGCCATAAAAAGTTGATTATCATCAATCTATAACGGTCTCCATAGGCAGTAACGGTGCCAACAATTTAATTTCGAAAGAAGTGCGGACGGATGATTCCCCCAGACTATTAACCACACCAAACTGTCAATTTAGGTGAATGTAATGATTGTTCATGGATAATTTGAGGATTTTCTTCGCACCAGAAATGACAGTTTTGTTTATTTACAGCACCACTCAGATGAAAGTGAGCCTCATCGGAGAACATGATTTTCTTAAAAAAATTGTTATCGTTTTCGAGTTGTGCCAAGGCAAAATTAGCAGACCTACGACGTTTACGGTGGCCCAATGGCTTCAGTTCTTAAGTGAGAATTCAAGCTATTCGACGAATTCAATACTACTCGGGTCAGTAACATATCTCTCTCAGCTCTTTAAAAGATTTCGATTCTACACGATTTTTATACTTTTATTTATTTACTTTTTTTCTTTTTTGTTGTTATATTTTTTTTTATTTTTACCCCACTATGCAACGCGTGTTTCATCCTAAGCACCGTAATAACAGATATTTTGTAATTTTTTTCACGTAATTTAATCTATACAAATTAAAAGCTTTTGCAAAACATTTAGAATTTTGTGAAATGTAATTCACAGCAACAAAAGTGGTTAACCGCAGCGATATTGTCGATTGGCCTTCGACAACAAATTCTGCCAACTGCCTGCTGCAGCATCAAATGCAGCTATGTCAAGTGCACGGTGAGTGTTGGCAGATTGGCGGTTAGAACATGAAAGCTTTTCAGAATTATTTGTAATTAAATTTTAGTTTGAACTATTTATTCTATGCAAATAGCGCTGAAATTTAATTAAGTTTTCATATTTTTCGATTTTCGATGCATTTATGAATATTAATTTATTATTTTGATACCCTGAACAAGCTATGGTAAGTATGCAACGAAGTTGGCATTACCCTGAATGGAATGTCGCTCATCCTATAAAATATATATATTGTATAAATGATAAGCATGACGCGCTGAGTCGATAAATCCATGTCCGTTTGTCTGTCCGTGCGTCTGTATATACGCCAACTAGCCCCACACATTTTACGTACTTTTCTCTTTAAGAAGCTACTCATTTGTCAGAACCGTCGATATCGGACCACTATAGCATATAGCTGTGATATAAGCTGCACAATCGGTATCAAGTGTTTGTAAGGAAAACTTTTTCATTTGACAAGATATCTTCACCAAAATTGGTATGGATTGTTGCCAAAGCTATCGGTGCAAACTCCTAAAACATTGTTGTTATTAGACCACTTTAGCATATAGCTGCCATACAAACTGAACGATCAAAAGCAAGTTATTGTATAGCAACTTTTTTATATGTGATGGGTATTATAGCTTCGATGCAGCCGAATTTAACGTTTATTCTTATTTTTATTGTTTTCGTAAACAAGTTATGACATTTTTGTTATTGTTTTTGTAATTTCAATGGCATTTTAATTGCATAGTTCAAGTTTTGCTTTGCAAATTGCATTTAAAAGTGTGGTTTTCCTAGTTTATTTAATTGCCAGACCGTCAACAGACCTAAATCATCTCACACAGGCAAATACACACACACACACTTACCTTCGGTGCATTCGCAGTGCGAATCCAAGTACGTTATCACCGGCGCGGTGGCGTGGCGTGCGCCCAGCAGACGCGCTCGTATCAGACCCTCACGGCTGGGGGCGCGCAATATCTTCACCTTCGGGTAGGCGCTGAAGTAGTCTTCCAGCTGTTGTTTGGTGTGTGCTGCAACAACAACAATAATAACAGATATTGGCATATCAAAAGTCGGCAGCAGAGAAGAGCGCAGAATATGCAAAAGCAAAAAGCTAAAAAGCATGCATAATTAAATTGTAAATTGCTTGGTGAGCCTGCTCAGTTCGCTTGGCGGCATGCGCGCACACAAAACGTTGCATTTAAATGCAAAGCATGCGCGCATGTGCCGTGCAGCATATTATCAGCAGTTTAAAAAATGATTATAAAGTGCATACGCGCATGTTTTATAGCAGTCAATATGTATGTGCAACATGTTGCAACTTACGCATATCGGAGAAATCGTCGACCAGTATAATTTCGTTGATCAAATGCGGCGGCGAGCGATCCAACACAGAGTGCACTGTACGCAACAGCACCGACCACGCCTCATTGTGGAAACAGATAATGACATCGGTGGCGGGTAGATTTTCTAAATAGCGATTTGGCTCCTTGCACCTGTGCCGATGGGAAAACATTTTTTAGTTACTTATAAATAATAAAATAAAATTGTTGCTGTTTTTGCTATTCATAAAGTGGCAGGAGGTTTGCACCTTGGTCGTATAATAATGCGTTGGAACAAATGTTCGCACTGTACGTGTGATTTTTATGCAAATTGATTTGGCAACACTGAGAGAATTAATTACACAGTTCATAAATATTGACAGAGAGAGTGGAAGAGTTAGAGTTTTATATCAGGCTAGTCTCAATTTTTTGGTTCTTAAGTTTGTTTTTGTGTTAGGATCCCATTTACTGCGCTCACGTGAGTCCAATATAAAGAAGTAAGGTATGACTTTAACGGTAATAGTCACGTGTACATGACAGCCGCAATGCGACAGATATAATTAAATAAAATTTAACGGTATTTTAATACAAAGTGTATGGCAAGTTAGGGTATGGACTATAAAAAGTTTATAACTTCAGTTTACTAGGTCTGCAACGTTGACTTTTAACCGTCCAGAACGATTAGAAATGATTATGTTATGTTGTTAGCAGCTAAGGGAGTTAAGGTATAACAAAATGAAACAAAATACTTTCTATAAGAGAGTTGTTATCGAAAATTCACTAAAATAGCGTAGAAAATAGACTACATAATCCGAAATTGCAAGAATCCGATCAAGTCTTTTTCTCGACTCTCAAGTTTGTCGTAACTCTTTGTTTGACCAATCGTAAACAATAGCCATTCTCTACGTGATTTATGATATAAATTATCAGCTTGGCCAGAAACTAGGTGCTTAGCCTTGCCATTTAAAAATAACAGCTCCAAAAAGAATTGGTTGTGCACTCCTGCCTTTTCGCGTTATTTATCCGCTTTGTAACCCACATAATTGGTTTAGTTTCACTAGTCTATCTATTCTTTATTAACAGCTATAAGATAACCTTTGTTAAGTACTTTTAATTTGTAACCCTTTGTTCTCTTTTTTTCTAACAACTGCCAGCTTTATGCGGAATACTGTTAACTAACAACTATTTAACTTAAATATTTTATTGGAAATATATTTTTGCTTACCATGCATCTCGTGGATCTGGCAATGTTCGATGCACAGATATCATATCGGATACATATTGATTAAATGCATTATTCGTCCAACCATCATCGACGGCCTTCTTCATTTCTACGGTCATATTGGTGGGTAAAACAACGGGTTTACCCATTTCACCGGGCGCATCCTTAGCCGGCGAAGGCGGTACGAGTACGCCTTTGTCTGAAAATAAGCAAAATATCAAATTCAGGTTAATAAAAAAAATGAAAGGATATTTTAGAGATATAATACTCAGAAATATCTCTATAATGAAATAAATTTAGCCTAAAATTAGGAAATCTTTTTTCTTAGCAAATTCACCAACCTCAAATTCTTTATATCCAAATGTTTATTTTTTTTTTGTTTATTGATTTATAAAATATGCTGGTTTAAAGGTTTAATAACATTTAAGAGGGTTATATCAAACATTTAAAAATAATTAAAATTAAGATGATGATTTAGAGGCCTGCTATTAGGCGCGAGCATTATTTTAGCAAAGTCTCCCACCAGCACAATTCTTAACTTTACATTTTAATACTCTTTAGTAAATTTTTAATGATAAATCTATTACATAAACAGTTAAATTATCTGTTAGGAAAGTATTATCCCTAAAACCACTTCGAAATGAATGCACCAAAGCAGTAAGAATACAACACATGCGCTTTAAAGAAGACCTAGACACAATTGATTGCTGCAGCAGCATCGATATGACGAATGGAACGTGATACCAGTGAACACAAGAAGGCACCCACGTGCAAAAAGAAAATGCAATTCTAAACAACCGCACACAAATGCACACTTGACGGGTGTAAGTAAATCCCTCATGGCAGCATTTATCCCGCAAACAAACAAAAAATATGTACGAGCTCAGCAAAAGCAGAAAACTTAAAGGATCAAAGCAAAGGAAGGATGTAGAAAGACTGTTGCATGCAATGCATTTCGCTGGACCAAGCGAGAGAAGAGCAAGGCAAACGCGCACACATACACACAAGCATAAAAATAGATTTTAGCACAATCCACTAGTTCTAAATAAATATATATGTGTATGTGCTGTTATGTGTGCGATTGTCGGCATGTGCGCGTCGCTGCAAGGATGCAAATATTGCCAATGGCAAGCGCTGAGCAGCGCAAACATCAATACAATTTCAATCCATTTAGAAGAACAACAGCAAAACACAAATGGAAACACGAATGCACACATGCAGCCACACACACACACATACACATATGCATGGATGAGATATGTGAAGGAGCCAAGCGTGAATTCAACATGTCTGCCATTGACGGCGCAACATGGCAGGATATTTGAAAGGTTATTTCAAAGTTTTCGCAATGCATTCAAGCGCAATGGCGGCGGCAGGGAAGACTGAGGCGAGTAGGCAAAACGTATGAATGTGGTGCAGAGAAAAGTAAAAGTTGCGAAGTGTGCGTCAAAAGAGAATTTGTATAATGGAAAGTGAAAAGTTTCAATAAATTAAAGTAAGATAGACTGATTTTTGTTGTAGCAAGGTCTTTGGAACAATCTAATAAAATAATGCAAAGATATTGCAATTTTAATATGCAAATGGAAATATATGTAACTATTAAAAAAATATCTAGTACAGCGCCACCTAGCGGATAAATTATTTTCTTTTAAAATACAATCGAAAAGCAGGGGAAGCAAACATTTGTGAAGCCTGGCAATATTTGTATAAAAACGATACAGATTTTAGAGAGAACCACCGGTGATAAACTCAAACAGAAGGCAGCTTTATAAGTAAACTAACACTACAAGTTTAAACAGAGGGAGAGCCGAGGCAAAGAATTCAAGTTCATTGAAAATAAAGAAAACTAAAAAAAAACTTTAACTTCGACTGCATCGAAGCAAAAATACCCTTCACAGGATAATTCTTCGGAAGTTGTACCGTTGCCTTAGACAATAAACCATGCAAAATTTGTTGAAGGTATCGTATCTCGTCAAATAAAACAGTTTCCATACTAGGACTGGACTTGGGTGTTAAAATTTCGTGGTATATTAACTCTGTTCCGCGTATAAAAATGTTCTACGACTAACAATCCAATTAATCACGTGATCATATAGTTAACAATACGTCCAAAAACACTAAATGATCGTTAGTGAGATTAAGTCGGATTAAATACTTTGAAGACGCCCGAAAAGATCTTTCTTTGTCACTCTTTGTTATATAATATATTTCAATTTTTCACAACAGGCTTTATTCTAAAAGTCAAAGTTGTAACCTAAAATCAAGGTTATTAGGAGTGATCGTAGTTAATCGTTTACGAAGTTTAGGCTTTAAGTAAACACCTTTGCTTAATCGCACCAACTTGCGGCCAAAAAAATATTCCGAAAGTTAATGAATTCAATTAAAATGCTTGAAGCATCCAATTTCTTTGTGGCATTCAGAGAATATACAACCTTAGTTGCACTATATATATGTCCAGTACAAGACAGATGGCAGATCGCTTATACATTATATAATGTCTCTATAATATCAGCTAATACTGTACGTCGATCTTATCTGGATAATAATACGTGATGAGAAGATCGCTGGAACAAGGGTTGCAGTGAAGCAAGTTAATACTTTGGATAATAGTCATATTTTAAATATATTTATACGAGTATCTCTGTTGCGCTACAAAATCTGATGAGCACGTCACTATAATAAAGCTGCTGAAGAAAAATACACAGTCACGTTATAGGTAAGAGTGGTTTAAGAAGTATCACTGCACAGCTTCAAATCCTTTTTTACATATAACCGGAAACAAATTTTCTATAGATCTACAATCTCATATCTACACAGAGTTTATTTCACAGAATTTTTTTTAAAGCTTTTACATAAGTCACGAAGAGACATTGAGTAGAAATATGCGAATACCTTCCATTTTTCAGCCACCACTACTGTGGAATATAGCAAAGCAAGTAAGAAAAACTGAAAAATTGCCAAAAGGCTGATACTTTTTATGCAATTTGCTTGTAAGGACATTCAATACAATTTGTTGACTGCCATCACAAATACTAAAACTGACACATGTATAGGAGCAAAGCAACAAAAAAAAACCGCTGCCACATTTTTGCATACATAACAGTTCGGAAGCTTGTGTGATGAATACTTATTTGCTTTAATTTTTTTCCTTCTCCATTTTTTAATAGGACTTTCATGAATGCTCGGCTATTTGTCAATGTCAAGTCAGCTCGGTTGTTCTTTTTACTAGCATACAGCAAAAGAAGCAAAACATTATAGACACAAAACGAATATATCGGCTTTGCAGTAGTATAACGCAATAAAAGCAAATACGCACACAGTTGCATTTTCACTTGTCATTTTTGGCTTTTCTGTAATTTTTTATTTGTTTTCCACTTTATACTCTCGCTTTCGTTCGAACATTTTCACATATTATGGCCTTTGCAAGCGCTCGTTTGATACTTCTGCGACTTGTGTTGACCAATTTTTGCTATTGTTTGCAGATTTACTTTACATGCTGCCATCCATCATTGTATTATGAATATTTTTTTTTTGCACTATTAACACGTAATTTTTGTTGCTTTTTGAAATATAATTTAGTAAAAAATATATTATTCATGCATATCGAATGAATATATGAAGAGCATCTACAAACTCATACGTATAGCTTCTAAGTTGTTCCGCTAGTAGCGCAGATATATTGTGTCTGGTATTTTGCGCCGCTATGACAGTTAGTGGCATATTTGTAGCATACCCTTAGGCGCCACTGAGATAGTTTAGCAGCTCGGTTGTTCTTTGAGTGAGTTTTGCCCCACATTTGTTGCAAATGAGTTTTGTTATTTATGATATGTGTTGCATACAACAATATAATACAGTTTATTTGTATATATGTATGTGTAGTATACCAATTTATACAACTGTCGTTACGTATTTGTGTGTGTAAGTGCTAAGAAACTGTTTTTATAATGAGATAGAAATGAGTAGAAAGATTTAAAAAATGTTTGACACAATGATGAACTGATACCTTTAAATACAAATACAAATAGCAAGTTCCATATTGAATATTGTATAAGAACACTGAAATGACCTTTTCATTAAAATGTTGCCTACAATTAGGCGAGAAGGCATTTTAGCAAAGTCACACGCCAGTTCAAATTTATAAGTAAATTATTAAAGACAAATATATAATATAACTAGTTACTAAAAGTTTATCTGCTGAGAAGGTCTTACAAATATGTTCCCAAACCTACATTGAAACGGTGTATCAGTAACATCTGAAATTTTGCACACGTTTTTTTCTCCCCAAGTAACTGCTCATTTGCCGGAACCGTTGATAACGGACCACTATAGCATATAGCAGTCATACAAAATGAACGATCAAAATCATGTCATACAAATCGAACGAGCAAAATCAAGAGGAAGGCCTTCATAAAAAGATATTTGAGTACTAATTTTCAAAATGCGTAACTACTAATTGTATGCTTTGCAAATAAAGTAGCTCACCCTCAATTGAATTTTCTTAGCAGTACGCTCCGAATATATTGTCTAATCGCTTAATTCACTTTCAATTTATGCAGCCAACTTTTACTATCCTTTTCAGCCAACAAATTAACACTCTGTGCCCCACTACAGCAGCAACAACTACTTTTAAATATATTCATAAATTAATGCAATCAATTGTATACTTTAACATATTGAAACGATTCTATAGAAATAAAGCGCACATATTTCATTTAATCCTCATCAAATTGGTTGCAAACAATGAAAATAGTAAAAATTACGAAATAAAGAAAAATAAACACACAAAAATTTTAAATATGTTAAAAAAAGTTATGTGACAATAAAGTCTGTTGCATGCAAGCATGCAAGCAGAGCAATAAAAAAGGATTAACTGGCATAAAGGATTTGGCGACGGAAAAAGTATGCAAGGATGGGCAACAGATAAAGCGTAAATTTATATTTAATAACAGTTATATGTGGTTAGAAGCGAGAGTAAAATCATAAAAATGTCTATATGGAAAAGTATGTGATTGTAATTTTGTATATAAAGTTATGTATCCATGTGTGCATGTATGTACGTATTGCAAAAAGTTGCTTATTTCGTAGCACAAATCCGCTTAAAAGCTTAAAGGACATTTTATGAATAGTCTGAGCTGCTATTTTATGCGTGCAGTTAATTTTCTATTCATATTTAACTTTTTTGTGTGGTGGAAATAATAA